AGAGAGAGAGATTGTGTGTTATTCTCTGCGGCATCCACAGTAAGATGTAGGGGTCATTACCTGGGAGAGTGGTTTGGTTGTGGGGATAGTATATGGAGAGCATGAAATTCACCCTTGTGACTCTCTTTAATTACCCAGGTAGGTAACATAAAGGACTTTCACAATGCTGTACATCAAGAACTGATTTTAGTGTCTGTCCTTTTGTCTCTTAGGTCCAGGCCTGAGCCTCAGGGCCCCAGAGTGGGAGGCTGCAGTCACAATCCAAGGGCAACCCCAGGTCTCAGTCCTATAGTACAAACCTCCCAGGGCCCAAGACCTGCCACAAAGTCATGGCTGAGAAGATGCTGGCTAACCAGGCTGCCCTGCCTCTCAGAGGAGACAAGTCCTTTCTGGCCTGGGTTGCTGGTGACATGGAGAAGAAGACAGGTGCTGGGGGGCAGGGGCAGGGCGATCATTGCAAGGGAGAGGATTCCTACGGAGGCAGAGGAGGGGCAGAAGGCCTCCACTTGAGCCTGAGGGCAGCCTCACTGTCCTGCCCTCCTGAAGCCTGAAGTTCAGGGTTGATAGTTTCAGGAAGCTGTGTTCAGCCTCCTTCTGTCAAGGTTTTCTTTACTGGTGAAGATGCTGCTGTGGCTGAGCCAAACTTGGGGTGCATTTTCAAATCCTAAAATGATACCAAAATGTTTAGACCTTTGAAACTGGGTCATTTCTGAAATGTCTTCATTTGAAGAGTCAGTGCTTCTAGTTCATAGTTGAATACTAAATGATGGGAGTGATCTCAGAGTCCCTTTGGTACTAGACAACTTGTCTCTTCAATTTGGACAAAACCCATGAGCATGGTTAAGGGTTTCCGTGTAGGTGAAATGAGCATAGCCAAGGTTGAATCCCAAAACTGCACAGGCTGTGGCCCAGGTGTCCCCACAATGCTGAGAAGTAGAAACTAAGGTGAGAAAGACCCCCCAACACTTCCTAAGGGACAGAAGTTTATGGATCAGTATCGCGTGGAATCTCTGGTCAGTAGCTCTGCCTCTTGGTGAGGGAGACCAAGTATGTGGCTGCCGGCCCCCAGGAACATGCCAGAGACACAGCTCAAGCAGCTCGGAAAGGGTGACAGTCCTGGGAACATCAGCACTGACTCATGTCCCAACTCTCCCTTCTATGGGAGGGATGTTTCCTGAGGCTCAAATCTGGAGTTTGTGAACACCTGGGGACAGAGTCTGGAGCCAGGCTGAGTGCTAATCCAGGATAATTTTGGGACACTCACCTGTCCATGTCCTTCTCCAAGACCTACAGGAGGGCTCTACACACGACGTCTCCTCAGTGAGCCTGACCCATGGGATTGAGCCCTGGCAGCACCAGGAGAGAAACATCCCCCTCCATCCACAGCCACCTTCCCACCCCTCTTCAGGGACAGGGCACCACAGTGAGTGCATTGCTGCCCAGTTCTTCCTTAGAGCCACATCATGCCCTTCTGCACTGGACTCAGCAGCTCCTCCACTTCTGAGCCAGCTCCATTTCTCCCTGGAGTCTGGGGGATGTGTCCACAAGTGACCCTTGTGAGGACATGGAGAAGTCTTTGTTCCTTTCTCCTTTACACTGAAGCTGCTCTTCAGTGACTTTGAACCCTGCCTGAGCTGGCCCGCTGGGACAAAATTACATACATGTTAGGGGCACTTCAGTCAACCAGAACATCTCCAAAGGTATCATGAGACCCAGAGAGCTGCCCAGCAGAGACCAGGAACAATGACTGGCCCACAGACTTATAAGTAATGTGTGTATGTATTATTGTTTGGCCTTTTATTAATGCAACATTACTATAGTGAATCTATAGGAACTACATGAATCACTGTCACCTAGAAGCACTGAATGGAAGAAAAGCTCCCATATCCACACCTCGACATCAAACATATTGGACTCAGATGTGCACCAGCAATGAGATTTCATCATTTGTTCCACCAAAATGCCAGGGTTTGCTTGTGCTACAGGATTGTCAATCAGATCCTGACTGATACACAAGACAATAGCTCACCGGCCTGCTTCCTGAGCAGATGGGAAGGAATACATTAAACGAATTGTAGGAACGTCCAGTAGTCTAGAGATTTTATCAGGAAAGTACTCTCTTATCTTCTGGAAGCCCATGCGCTGGTAGAGGGTCAGAGCAGCCGGCTGTAATATGCTAGTATCAAGGACAACCTCACTGTAGCCCTGAGCCCTCGCAAACTGGAGGACAGTCATGACCAGGGCTTTCCCTAGTCCTTCACCTCGGTGCTCCAAGGCCACAGAGAGGTGAAACAGCTGCAGTTGCTTCCTCCCTGGGGGGGGCATTCTCCACTGGCAGAGCACCCACTATGCCTGCTACCTGGCCCCCAGACTCAGCCACCCAGAAGCAGGAGCCATGGGCACTCAGGTAGGATTTGGTGATGTCAACAAGATCTGCCTGCAAATACATGATCACGTACTGCCTCCAAAGCTCTCTGGCCAGCAACCATAGGATAACAAGGAGGGTGACATTGGATCCAAGAGCCAGGAGCCAAGAGCCAGAGACCAGGAGTAGGGTGATGGGCACCCCAAGTAATACCAGGAGTGTTTGTGGTAACTTTAGTCCATGGCAGAAGGTGGCAGGGA